TGACGTTATACATTATACATTTTATATGGTATACATTTGACATTATACATTGTAAATTACTATGATGGTTTTTATATTTAATATGTACATTATAGATTTAATTTATTTTTTGATGATATGGTATTTATATTTAATATGTATATTATATATTTATTTATTTATTTATTTTTTTGTTGGTATATATAATTTGGAGAAATGGATAATAAAAGTAAGGATACAAAAATACAAAAAACCCCCAAACGGGGAATCGTTTGGAGAACGGGCTTTTTTTGGGGATTTTCCGAATTCCCCGAACGAGCTTCGGGCCGGATCGGGGAATCCCCTTGGGCTTTCCGGCTGGGGCCGGGGGCTTATCCCTATTGGCACAATCTGGCCGTCAAAGGCACGATCTGGCCATTTTCGGCCAGATATCTAGGCGAAAATGGCCATATCGGCATACGGTAGCCATTTTTGGCCTTCCGTGCGTCATTTCGACAGCAGTTGGCCGTGGCGGTGTTGTCGGCGGTAGGTTGCGACAGGTGGGTAGGGATGGTGGCTTAGGTGGGCTGCAATTTGTTTTGAATTCAAAGGTAATTTTGTCAAAAAAAGTTAATTAATTGGGGTAAAATAGTAAAACCTATATTCATGTAAATAAATTTAAAAATAAATGCATTATTGTTCAAAAATTTTATTAATAAGGGATAGAATTGTAAAAAAAAAAAATAACCCTGATAATTTTAGAATACCTAAAAAAATGGAGGTAATCAGATTACCTCCAATATTACCAATAATAATCACTATTGGTATTTAAAAATTACTGATATCTTATATTACTTAATAACCAAATATGGTAATTAAGTAATATAAAATAACTTAACTTCAATAATCCCGCATAAATCTCAATCAAACGCCACTTTAGAGGTAATTTGATAAAAAGCTATATTATTCGTAAACGACTTCTTTAAACTATAGGGGGTAATTATTTGTTCTCATTTACAATCTGATGGGAGTATGGGACAGTGGTGATTAATGATTCTTTTAATTTTCTTAGGCTAAAAATAAAAATTACTCAGCCAATAAGTGGTTTTTTAATTTTTTTGCGCTTACTGTATAAAACTAGATACCTCAAGCAGCGCACCGAGCAAAGAGTTTGGGCCGCTTGATTGAGGAGTTAATTGTGATTAGGTCTTATGGTTTGGGTCTATTGGATTCAGAATACCTTTATTTTTAAAGACAACATAGTCCCAAATATGCCCTTTTTTTGTTAGTATTGCCCTAACGTCTGTAAAGTTGGAGGACGATTTCATTGGTAAAAAATAATTGTGTCCTTGACATTGTAGACCAAAACCATTTCATTTGCAAGGGTAACACGGGTTTTCAATTTTCAATATTCAAATCAAATTTTAATTTTAATTTTATAAATAAATTATATATGCCATTATATTCTAATTACAGTTAAAATATGAAAAAAAAAAATTTTATCAACTGAATTATATATTGTTAACTTAATTAAAACAAAAAATAAATATTATCTCGTTTTTTAATTTACGATGAATTATTGTCACTGAAGTTAAAAATAAAAGAGAAATTTATTTTATAAAATTTAAAATGAAATAAAATAAAATATAATATATAAGGTTCCGTTTGGTTTATTATTCTGATACTTTTTAGAATAATAGTTTGAAAAAAAAAAGTAAAATTGGATGGGTATTATCATGTAGGATTTGGAAATTAATAAAAATACTCTTTATGTTTGTTTATTTACTAAACACCCCTATAATAAAATATTAAAAATGAACAAAAACACCCCAACCCACCCATTAAATACGAACAGCCGGCCACCACCATCGAAGGGTGGCCAGAGTCGTCGTATCGACGCATGACCAGCTGGATCTGACCGATCGTGCGCCGATATGACCTTTTTCGGCCAGATCCACAGTGGATCTGGTCGAAAAAGGCCAGATCTACGGTTAGATCTGGCCATTAATGGCCAGATCTGGGCGTATTTGATTGTCAACGACGGCCAAAGATACGGTTGTCGTTGACGACTGGCTACGGCTAAAGATCTGACCGGCTGTTGACAGCCAGATCTTTGGCCGTAGATCTGGCATTTTCTGGCGTACTATCGGCTAGATTCAGTCGGTAGTGTGCCATAATATCAAATTCTAGCCAGTTTTCGGTGGTAGTGGCCGAAATCTAGTAAATGTGGGTTGCTAGGGTGTTTTTGTCAATTTTTTTTAAAAAAATTTAGGGGTATTTAGTTAAATTAACAAATTTAGAAGGTTTAAAAGAAATTGAATAATATATAACAATATTTTGAGAATGAGAGAACCAAAAACCAATTTTCTATTTAACTTTATTGGGAAAACCAAAATAGTATTTTAAAAAATGTATCAAGCAGAGCCTAAAATTGTCAAAGTTTAATGCTTAAATGGGCAAATGTAACCACAGGGGTTGACCTGGTGGTTAAAGAGGTTCACCTTCTTCTTTTAATCTTTTGAATTCAAAATTTAGAATCCCATATTATAATAATATCGTGATTTATTTCACCACGTTCACTAGTTGGAACGTCAAGTTAAAAAAAAAAAAAAAAAAAAAGACAGCTATGGAGTTCGGGCGAGCGTATGGGCACAGTCATCAACGAACAAAAGCATAAAGCATTAATTTGGGATCAACGGGTTTAGCAATTGAGCCGGATGGATGGATAGCATGGCGGGAGGCAACACTACACAAAAATTTAAAAAATAAAAACATTTAAAACACGCGCGTCGAGGTCGCGTAACGCAGACAGACATCAGCCAAACGCACAGTATCCACTCCCAGGTCCAGCGGCACCACACAAGTGAACGTATCAGTTAAATCTCTCAAGAGAGCTGCGGTTGGTAACAAAGATGCTCGCCCTCACAGCCAGCCCTGCACCGTTAGCCTCCAAGTGCGGAATTTTTACTCGCTTCAAAGTGATGGCAGAGAAGTTTCCTTCGTTTCTACCAAAAGAAGTTGAAAACATCAAAGACCCCTTCGCTCGTAAGCTGGCCGCTAGAATCGAGAGGCTTCCCGTACAAGTTACAATTTTTTGCTTCCTCTAGTTAATTTCTGCTTTTAATTTATTGTTTATATCACGCAATGCAAATTCCAAACTTATATTTAATCAGAGTATGTGAAATACAATCAAATTGTCTACTCTTGGGACTGTTGCAAAAGTTCAACACAGTCTCTTTATGGTTATAATTTTAGCTGATAGTTGGCTTAGAAAGTTGAGGAATAGAATCCATGACATCGATTAATCATATAAAGTCTGTTTCCTCTGCATGTGATTTTTATTGAATTGTGTGCTATAGGCTTTAATTATTTTAGTTCATGTTACCCTTAACTAGAACCAGTTCTAAATCCTTGTATTCATTGATGATTTTAGAATCCTTGAGGGATAGGTGCATTGCATGATCAAGGCTTTGATTTGTTTACACAAGATTTGCGATTCCATTCTTCAGGCCACCAATCAGGCGAAATTTATTGCTTCCCCAGGCTTTTAGAATTTGGTCGGAACCTCATTTCTAAAGTTGAGTTCACTAAGCGGGTTCAATATGGGTTATTGTGAAAATAATATTAAATTGGATCTTAAAGTTATATTTCTGACTTGCATGTGCCAAACAAAAGAAGAATCTGCCTGATAAAGGTGAGGTCTTGACAAAATGCTGATTTTGGCCTGTAATATTTTCATCTAAGGAGATTTTTAGTGTGAAGCTTACCTAGATGCTTGACACTTATTGGCTGGCTAATTCCAAGAATGTGAACACATTCAATATTAGTAATCTAAAAACTTTATATGTGGAATTGTATTGACTTGTAGAATGGTCATTTCCTGTCAAGATTGAGAAGCTCTACATCGCGTTATATTCATTTTGAAGTCATAAGCTGCAGTTCCAATTTTATTCTACTTTAATTTTTCAAAAATGCAATCTCTGTGTTTGTCCCATTCATTCTGAGCCTGTGGGCAATGTAGGTCAGCTTCTCAGAGAGTAGTATCATGAGTAGTCTTGTGAAGCCAATGATACAAAGCACAACAAATCCAGTGGTTCTCCTTCATGGCTTTGACAGGTTCCACATATGCAAGAGACACCATTGTTTATAGAAAAATTTTAAACTAATGTCGGTAGAATTCATTACATCTTATTATTCAGTTCTTGTTTAGAATGGAGATATACCTATCCATTACTTGAGGAGGCGGGCTTGGAGACTTGGGCTATTGATATTCTTGGGTGGGGTTTCTCTGATTTAGGTTTGTCTTATATTTTCTTATCTTCTGAAAATTTAAGTGAGTTGGTAATTTGAAATTCTCTGGTTCTCCTTTTGTTTCAGTAATAAAGTTTTTCTTTTTTCTTCGTTTTTGTGCTTGTTAGAAAGAATTCCATCATGTGATGTGACCTCCAAGCGCGAGCATTTCTATCAGGTAATTTTCACTGCCTCAAGGTCATCTCCTGGATTTTGAATGGAAGAGATTTTTGTCCAACTTCAGTAAATGTTGGAAGCTTTTATTATGACACAAAGCAAAAGTATGACTTGTAATGACTCTATAAGATGTTATTTTCTTGTCACTTATGCATATTGTGGTCTACTTTTTGGTGATCTGTCATGTAGTATTGATATTGTTTACCATTGTTATCAAATTACCACTTCAAGAATCAATCAATAAAATTGCAGGATATTTTAGCATATTAGCTAGTATTGGCATGAAAAAGCTAACCCTGTCTGCAGTTACCATAACCATTTTCTTTGCATAATGCTGAAACCAAAATGTATATGTTTGATATCATATAGCTATGGAAGTCTTACATCAGAAGGCCCATGATATTGGTTGGACCAAGTCTTGGTGCTGCTGTTGCAATTGACTTTGCAGTCAACCATCCAGAAGCTGTAAGTATTTTATGAATTGAGCCTAAGATTATGCATTATAATTCAACATTGGAGAATTTACTAGTTATATTTTGATTGAACTTGCTAAATTAGTGCATCTGATTTTTTTTTTTTTTTTCTTTTTTTTCTTTCTGCCTCATCTCTTTCAGGTGGAAAACCTGGTTTTGATTGATGCAAGTGTATATGCTGAAGGAACTGGAAACCTTTCAAAGTTACCAAGAGCAGTAGCTTACGCTGGGGTAATTCTTCTTCTTGATGAATACAAACCTTGAATCAGAATCAATTAATATAGATTTTTATTTTGGTGTGTGTGTATATTTATAAAGAAATCTTTTGTCATGAAATGTCAACTGTATTGTGAAGATTTTAGAAACAACAGGCTTTAGGATTTTACTTTGGTTCTCTTCTTTCATTAGTAAGATATTTATAGTTCTTTAAAAATATTGTTGACTTTAGCTAAAACTTTTGGGTGGCCTAGAGTTTAGGGAAATTATCACCTTGTTATTACTTGAAACTGCTGCTTATTCAGCTGGCTTAAAAATCTTAAATACATTGTGAGATGCAGGTTCATCTAAGAGATTGTTTAAGGGATTTAACCCAAATTAACATAATCTTTGGATAAATCATTGTATGAGAGAGCCGGAGGAAGCTATTTTTCTTTTTTCTTTTTTTCTCAGTTTTTCTTCTATTTTTGAGCTCTCCAGCTTCTTCTTTACAAGCTATATCATACTAGGATTTTTGTTTTCAAGTGATGAGGGTTAGGCTTAATAAGCATTATTTTATTTTACAGTTGTTTGGAATTCTAAGTAGCATGTCTTGGTTACCTTCCTGTGAGATGATATTGATGTATCTAGTATTAAAATCAAGTGCGCTTGAAATTATTGTCATTTTACAAAAATCTTTTTCTTTTAATAGGAAACAAAATAATTATTTTTCTATCAAAAAGAGTATACAAAATAGTAATATGAACTAGCGGTTCATCAAAGATGATTTACAAGTTGGTGGAACAAATATTTCATATGCTATATTTTCTATAGTTGATCCAGACCCACTATTAGTGAGTACCGCCTTCCATTTTCCATAATGAAGAAAAAAGAACAATCCTGGAATTCTTTAGTAACAGAAACCCATAAGGATGCCAGCATTCAAATAATGTCTGACAAAAGTCTGATTTCTTCTTCTATGGAGTCCTCAAAGATTGTTCTGTTCCTTTCCATCCTAACCACCCAAAATACTGCCAATACAGAACATCTCCATAAAACCATAGCTTCCCACATCCATCAGCAGCACAAAAATCCTCTAGGAATAGGGAAACACGTAATTTTGGAACAACCCACATTCTGTGCAAAAATATGTTTTGATGCAATGTTTTAAATTCCTTTTGTCAAAGTTTTTTCACTGATCTGCATTTAGCCTGTAAAAGGGAAATGTTCATTTAGTAAATCACTGTAAAATTTTTTAGCACAATACATTGATTTTAAATTTTAATTCTTTATGATCACATTCCATAACAAACATGGAGCTAAAGTCAATGGCTATGCAATAAGTCATGCTGATGGTAATAGATGAATTGAGCTGCCTCTGAGTATGGAATATATTTCACAAATTTCCAGGATCAGTTTAGCAGCAACTTACCCCTTTTGCTTTACAAACCTATCTGCACAAACTTTTGTGTCTGTTTGAGAGAGAGAACGTGCTATTAATATGTGCTGCTGGGCTGGGGGTTATCTTACACATTATTGCTGTAACCATGATCACTTTTCTGAGTCAGGTACTTTTGTTGAAGAGCATTCCTCTACGCTTGTATGTGAACTTTTTGGCTTTCAATGGTATATCATTAGATACCAGCAAAGATTGGACAAATGTAAGTGTTTCTGTCATTATTACTGAACATACTATTGTGGCACTGGCCTTATTATGATCCAGAATTTTGAAGGATTTTGCAGGGGTGAAATTGGTTCTAACTCCAACTTTATTCTTGTAACCTTATCCAGGTGGGCCGTTTGCATTGTCTATATCCTTGGTGGGAAGATGCCACTGTAAATTTTATGATTAGTGGTGGTTATAGTGTCAGTGCTCAGATAGACCAGGTTTGTCCAAATCGCTTTTCCATTTAAGAGAACAAGCTGTAGATATCCTCCATCTTGCATATAAAAAGAGTCTAATTCTTATACTAGATTCTAGAATGGATGAACAACCCATTTATTGTGCCAATATAAATTGTTGGTGCATAACTGCATGAATGCACTGAGACATTGAGCTTTGGATCCTGCCTATCGTATTTATGCAGCTTCTCCTCATTTTTTGTTTTTCACAGCTCCTACAACAGAAGTAATGCTAATGATAAATAAGAAGAGAGAGGAGAGCTAAAAGAAGGGAATAAATTTAAAAAAGTTCATTATATTCACTTGCCTGTTGCTGAAAATATATGTTCTATAAATTCTCTGTGTGAATTGAAATGGGAACACCATGGAGATGTGATTTTTATTTGAAAACTTTATAGGAACTGTTTTTCTGTGTCAACCGCTGACAAGGAAATCTTTACTTAGGTGGGTATCTGGTGACGCGTTACTGTATAGAGGCCTCCTACATTTTAAAACTGAATCATGTTATCTTCAACCTGGCAATGCAAAATTTGAAAAATATGAATTCTTTTTCCCAGAGAAAGGGTGTATGCAAAAAAAATTTTGGAGTCAGTGCACATATTACTGACATACTCTTCTAATCATGATTATTCCTTAGTATCATGCTGGAAGAAAACTGTTTTAAATTTTTTCAGAAGTTTCTTAATCAGCAGCCACAATGCTGTGGTGTTGCTTTTCTTTTTTTCAGGAAAGTCCAACTTTCTAAATAAATACCCTGAGATATCAGTTCTCTTTCTCATGCTACTTAAAACTATGTTGCACAGGTGAAGCAGAAGACACTTATCATATGGGGTGAGGATGATCAGATCATTAGCAACAAGCTTGGAGTTGTAAGCATTAAAACTGATAGCTTTTACTTTGTAGATATAAAGTCCACTTCAGAAAAAGTGATTTCTATTATTGTAACAATTTCGGAGGAACTTAATAGTGTTCAATATTCTCTTCATAAATTACTCTCTGTCCTAGAGCCGAATCTTTCTACTTTTGTGACCATCTCCTAGTAAAGCTGGATGCTTAAAATTGTTAACTTGTGTGCCCCTTGGAATAATATATGCAGAGATTGCACTGTGAATTGCCGAATGCAATTATACGCCAAATACCAGACTGTGGTCACCTTCCTCATGTGGAAAGGCCAAGTTCAGTTGCGAAGTTGATATTGGAATTCATTAGAGAAAATTGCAACATAGAAGTTCAATGTGTTTCTCAGCATTGAAGGTCTATTCTCTTATCTCACCGATTTTATTTAGATTGTTCGCTGTATGTATGAAGTAATATAATTTAAAATCACCGACCTGCTGTAGAATAGGTGCATTTTGGATCCTGTAAAGTTGAAATTTTCATCCTATTCTGTTTTATGGTTAAAGCTGTGCCAGTCAATAATTCAATTCCTTACACATGTAAAGTGAAATGGACTTGTCAAAAGATTCCTTGTCAGTCTAGATTGTTCTAGGTCCACTGAATGACCCCTTAGTTGTTGACTTGAATCACCAAAATAGTTCTGCACGCATACAATTGTCATCCTTATCCAACACGAATGTTTAACTCTGCTGGTATGCAGTTTGACTTTCATTTGTTTGAACAAACGAGTGCGTCAGTTGTTGGAGCTCGGCATACTTCCAAGTACCTTCACCTGTTTCTCTAACTTGTCCTTTTATGAATTTCTTAGGTCTGCCATGTTCCTTAGACATTTATGTTTCGATGGTTCAATTTAATAGGCCGCATGTCATTGGGTTGAGATGTGTAAATGGGAACCACGGTCCCTGTCTAGAGAATAAGGTCATGTTGTTGTTAGGATTAGATAATTTAGATTACATCAATATGATATCAAGTATCTTGAGATCTTTTAGTATTTTTTCGTGATAATTATGGGGAAGTAAATCTAATCATGGATGACAAATTATCAAATGCTAAAGTGTGTTGGTGATTAGGAAATGGAATTTTGGCTATCTAAAAGCACTAATGTTATTAAATGGATCATCGATGTCGAATTAATCAAATATTGCCTTGATTAGAAGTTTGACACAAGCTCCCCCCACCCAATATGCTTTGATTAATGGTTTGAAAGTTTTTTAATGCTAATAACCGAATGGTTGGTAGGTGGCTGGTTCACAAGTCATAATCTCTCCATAAGCTCCATGCATTTGTAATGACTAACTTCATTCATAATTCATTCAAGTTCTGCAATCCCTGAATTATTCTCCTTTAAATTTCTGACAAAATACTTGGTCCATCAAATGAATAAATGATTCTCACTCACCATTTAACAAACTACCCAAATTAGGTTGGTAGAAATAACCCAAAAGAAAAGTAAATTAGTAAGAAAATGGATTGATGGACATGGGCAACAATTAAATAGTCTGGGAGTGATTACCGATTCCATTAAACAAAATTAGAAAAAATATTAATAAATACTGCCTCTCCCTAGATATACAGAAGGAAAAATCTAAAAAAGAAAAGATCAGGTTCTGCCGCAAATAGCAGTCATATATATCACCCGAAAGGAATCCAATTCCCCATCTTTTTCACATAGGAAAAAAACAAAAAAAAAAAAAAAAAAGAAAAGAAAAAAACCCTAGTGGGGTTTTGCCTCTAGACCATTGTGAAATGACATGTCTACCCATCCATTCGTGGCTAAATCTGGTACTCACATCAAACCCCACTTCACTTCCTCTTTACTTTACTATACTAAATTCAACCCCATAGCAATGCTAGTGATGAAGCCACAGCCATTGAGAAAAAGAAGTGAGTGGTTGTTGAAAAGCGAGGCCCGGCACTAGAGTCGGTGATGCCACTCCCTGTCGGGCCAAGAGACCCAGTGGTGCCCCCAAACACATTGGGAGTGCCTGTTGTAGTTGAAGGTGTGGTTGATGTTGTTGGCGTTGTGGTAGGAGTTGTTGTGGTAGGAGTTGTGGTGGTGGGAGTTGTGGATGGAGTTGTGGTTGGTGTGGAGCCATTTCCTGTCCCTGTGCTGCTGGGTAAAAACAGAGAGCCAAACCCCAAAAAATAAATTAAATTAAGTGTACTATTATAGTACTGAGATGGAATAACAGATGTCAAGCCAAGATAGAGAGATCTGGGAATCAAAATCTTTAGTGAGAAAGGAGACAAAGAACTAATGAAATATCAACATCAATACAGCTCACAGCTGTCAACATGATGCAAACCACTGACTTTATACGATTAAGAAATTAAAACAGATATTAGATCTAATCAACATTTTCTTACTAACATCAAGATTTTTATCTGAAATCACTGATTTTGCTTATGCAAACAAAACTCATTTCCCAGTTAGAATCTGCTATGTGGATGATGACCACAAATAATTTGAAAAATACAAAACTTATGTACCTAACAAAAAAGAAAACCCTTAAGAAAAAACTCAATCATTAGAGTTGGGAATTAGATTCTTGACACTGAAAGCTCATCAGTGTAGATTCATCCATCAAAAGGGAAGAGAAAAAAAATTGAGATGGGATGAAGAAAAGGAGATCCACCGATGAGCTAAAAAGTAATCCAAAGGAGGAGGAATCCAGCCACAGAACAAATTCACAGAAAGTGATAAATGATTTTAAAATCACAGAAACAAGCAAAAAGCTGAGACCATACCTGGCAGTTGAAGGGTAAACACAGGTGGATGCAACATCTGGAGATTACAAAGACACAAGGATGAAGAAGAAGAGTGAGTAGAGAATAGAAGGTAAAAGATATAGAAAGATGGAGGGTTTTGAAAAAGGGTCTTACTGGAAGGGGGGTTGGCACTAGTTGCGGCAGCGCCTGCAAAATCACAGCTGCCAGTAGTTTGACCCTTCTTCTGGAAATAACTGTTAACAGCATAGTTGCAGTGATCTTTCACTGTGTTGGGATTGTAACAAACACCATTTTGGATGATTGGAGTGCAATCAGCTCCAGCTCCACAAGCATAATCTATAGCCTTCTGAAGAGCTGAATCACCTACCCCATCTTTACATAAACAATAAAGGGCACCTGAAACAAAAGCAGAAACAACCACAGTTACTTCACAGAAATTTAATTAAAAAAAAAAAAAAAAAAGAAGAAGCTTGTTTTCCTTTCTAATGGAATTAAAAAGTAGGATTTTTGTCCGGATAATTGTTAAAAACCATCAAAAGAAAAGAAGACAAGCACCAGAGATCAAAGAGGGAAACACAGAGAAACCTCGTATCAGATATCTAGAGTTAAGATTATTAAACAAAGCTGGTAAGAAAAGAACAAGAGAGACAGAATAAAAAATCAAGAAGCTTACTTGAATGGCCGGTCATGGCAAAGAAAAGCACTAAATACACTATAGCAGCCATGATTAATGCAAGATTGTGGGTGGGGGGAATATAGAAAATCAAAACACTCTTTAAGAGAGGTTGTTGAAGTTGAAAACTTGAAATGAAAGATAGTAGAGTATGAGAGTGAGAGAGAGAGAGAGAGAGAAAACTTGAAATGAAAGATAGTAGAGTATGAGAGTGAGAGAGAGAGAGAGAGTGATGTGGGGAGATGGAGATTTCTAGACAAGTATTAGAGATAGACGGTGGGTGATAATGGTGGGTGTCTGTATCTGTAGCAGTAGCCTTTTTATTATGTAACACACTGTTCATTATTTATTAGTACAAAGAGATTATTATAATTAATATTTTTTTCTGATATTTTTTTAATGTTGTTTATAAAAGGGTAAGGGAGAGAGTGTTCTGGGAAATAGGGCAAGGCTAAAAAGCTTTGCCATGTATTTGACAGATTGTGTCTTTTATGTTTTATGTATTTTCTGTTCTTTCTTACAAACGGTCATAAACTAATGTGCAGGATCAAAACTTAAACCACGTTGGGTTAAGTTTAAACCTGGTTTTGTAAAGCAAAAGGGCCCTACCATTCATGAACACTCCTTTGATATCTATTCTTAATGTGCTGTCACTGTAGTTGTCCTTTCTTTTCTTTTCTTTTTTTCAGCTTTCCTTTTGGAATATCAGAATCTCATCTTGGTGCCTCAATTTTCAATCATCTTCCATGTTTTACAGGTTGGTATTCTCTCTCTATTTTTATTTTCCAGTTTCGTTCCTCATCTTCATCAAATTTACTTCCAAAAATATTGTTTTTGCAATGCATCAGCAGCCACCAGCTTACCCTCTGCAGCATGCAATTTTTGACCCCAATCTCATCAACCCTTTAGATGAGTTCACATCTCAACGAATTCTAATCTTCATTGTACTAATGTACTCATCTTATTCGTATACAAAAGAATGAAAATACACCTAAATTCAATGAATAGTAGTAGTACTACCCATCTTGTTGAACCAGCTAGGTTAGGTTCAAGATTTCTTGGGAAGTTTCTAGCTTAACCTTTTTTGGTTTTGACACTCTTTCTGAAACATTTTTCGTAACTTCACCCATTTGGATAATACCCAAATGCTAAAATATGAGCCATAAATGACTTAAAAATCAATAATATGGTTTTGACATGATTTGATTTGAACAATACAACCAATACATAATTGCAAAGGCAGCTACTAGTCAAATTACAATTGTAATATATTACCTTATTTTCTCATCTACATTGCACAACTGACAATACATACTCTATGTTTGATCATCCATTTACGTCTTGACAATGTTATGTCCATGAGAAAAAATAATCTAGCGTAATTAACTGGTATTACCTCCACCATATGAGAGCCTTGGAACATAATAATTCATAAACCAGCTTTTTATTAAATGCACTTGTACAGGAGGGGGTGCCTATAAATTAAACAAACATGTCTGGGATGATTTTTCGACTGTCATATTCGTGCCACCTGTCTAGATATCATACCGAGATTTAGTGGTCAGAATCATCCCATGTGTTGCTCTTATAGCACATGACTTTTTCAACAAACTCATCAGTATTAAGCATTGCTATTCATACTTAAGTATGGGTAGGGATTGACTCATATCCGGATCATGGTTGTTAGTATCCTATGATACCCGATATGTATCATACGATACGATTCGATACAGATCGTCAACGATACGTATCAGAGAGTGTATCCTAAACTATTCGATATGTTGATATGTATCCTACGATACGATACGTATCCGTTCATATCCTTAAAAATATCGATATAAATCGATACGGCTTTATTAATTTGGGCCAAAGGTCCAAAAAAAATTCGGGTCGAAACTAGGTCACCCAACCCGATTCACTAAAACCTGTCCAAATTTACCTATTTTGCATGGAGAAAGTGAAGAGGAATATATATTGCCCATTTTACATGATAATAATAATATAAGTGGAGATATAGATATTGACATTGATCTTGGAATTTTGTGATTAATTTTGATTATGTAATACCGTAATTTAAATTCAATAATACCACAAAATTCTTTAATTAATCTTGGGGATTATATTAATTTTTAAATTTTTTTGATTATTTTATTAATTTTTTTGAAAAAAGCATATCTTACGATATAATACGATACGCGATACACGATTCAAAAAATTAGGTTTTCGATACACGATACGATACACGATTTGATAACCATGATCCGGATTACGGAGGATTATACGTGTAATCCACTTCGTAATATCAACCCTCAACCACTTTTAGACGATGTATATAAAAAGGGGATATCACCTCCGTTTTAACGGATCAGTTATTCACACAAGCACAAGAAATCACTTAGAGAAAGTCTTAACTTATTATTACGTGTTTTTTCCTTATAATCAATTTGTGTATACAACAAAGATAAGCAAATAGTATAACAGTAGATGTAGGTTTGGTTATAATTTGTCAAACCATTTTAAAAATCTCTTGTGTTCTTGTATTACGGATTCACCAATCATTTTCTAGCTGGTTATTCTTAATTACGCATACATCTTACATAATTTTGTCGTGATCGACTGAATATCTCTAATTGTTCCGAGTTTTTGCAACATCAAAGCCTAACAGCAAAATCCTAATTCATATAGTTGAAATTTTGTTCCTCAATTAACAGTAACAAAATTTCAGAATAAAGAATTCTATTTGCTCTGTTCTGGCACAGCTGATTCAATAATAATGACTCAGAATTTGGGTTCCAGCCTTCCAGGTAGAATGATTTGCTCAGCCTTCCAGGTAGAATGATTTGTTCAACCCACTTGTAATTGTGCTTAAAGGCATCAAACCCCACCGTCAGGCAGACCATAATAATTTTCACTCATAGCCCTCTCTCTCTCTCTCTCTCTACACTGTATATATATCTGTTTTTTAAAAGCTGTTTTTGAAAACAAGGGATTGTATCTTCCCACAAAAACAGTTTTATTATGCTTTTGCTATGAGGCATTGAGGAAATTTTCATCAGTTGTTTGTATAAATCTTCTATTACAGGTTTTCGAGACTCTACAAATGGGCAAAGCGTGCTGTAAATAAAAGCAATTAACTTAAAATTGCTGGCTTATGATGAGGAAGATTGTGACCTTTTTAATAATGGCTGTGTTATAACCAGTCAATAAACATAAACTAAACACCAGATCAATCAAACACAAAGATTCGCACAAACCAACAACACAAGAACACAAGATTTACCATGGTTCGATTATCTAATAAATCAGAATAGAGAAGACGATTACAAGAGAAAAACCTACAACTTATCTGTGCAAATAACTATTCATCTCTCTTTTATACCGTTTACCCTTTTGACAAGCCTCAACCGTTGGATCTGAACAGTTTGGATGGTCATGATGTTCAGCTTATTTTGTCCCAAAACTCTGCTTTTCACTTAAGTATCAAAATGATGTCGTTTTTAGGTCTTCACTTTAACAGGCTAAATATATGTCAACTTCATTAAGTTAATGTTTATATTCATAAACAAAATATATGTGTACATTTCTTATTCTTGATTCCAAATTTATGATTCATCTATATTCAATTACCCATTAACCAAAAGGGTAAAGCGAAAGTAGTAAAATAGACTGGAAACAGGAATAAATAAAGAAGAAACTTCTAAAGTTGAAAAGGAGAATCTAGGCCAGAGCTGAAGAAGATTAAAGGGAGAGGACTGAGGTTATAATTATTTATAATGAAAGAAGAAACATAATATAAAAATACCATTTTGTAAAATGTAAAAGAGGGTTGCCAAGAATAAGATTAGGTAAGGTAGAGCCAAAAGGCAATAGAAAGAACTTGGAAGTATTGTAGGCAAATTCTGTGGTTCCTTTTTAGCTTCACTTTATTTGATCATTGAGGGGTCTTGAAATTCCTACTGGGAAACAGAATCCCTGGACCACAAATGCACAAAGGTAAAGAATAAAGGTGCCTTCTCTTCTCTTATCTCTCTTTTGACATTTGTCTTTTTTTAATGAATGGAACCTCCACCCTTTATAAATTTTGAGTTTATCAAAACCAAATTTGCCATCTTCTCACCAGGGCTTTAAAAGAGATTAATTTGTTATTTTGATTGGCTTAGTTGATTCACGGGATATTTATTTCATTCTTAGGTTTGAGGTTTGTGGCACTTTGCCTCACTATTATAGAATACAATCACTTTAATCTTGTCATATGACTAACATAGTGTTATTGACCTAATTTCTTAACACTGTTCAAGGGGTTTTCAAAGTTTATATTCCGTCAATATAATCATATTTACTCTTTAAGGAGTTAAGAAATTAAGCCAATAACATTGACATCACTTAAGAGGTTTTAAGTTCGAGTCTTTCATAGATTGTTAATAAGGGTAGTCATTAGAGTTATTATCTGACCGATAGTTTTAGGGTCCTAAAAAACCCCTGGTCATAAAATTTTAAAAAAAAAAAAAATTGATGTCCACTATATCTAATAAGAATGTTCATATCCCATAAAACCGGAACAAGATAACATATCTCAAACCTTAGGGATGAAACTGTAAGTATTTTATTTATTAATGATACATCTTTGGGGTATTTTTGGCTAAAATTAAGGTATTCTCTTTAATTTGTATCTTACTTTTGGGATTGTGGTTTGGGTACAAAACGAGGTGTTAGGTTTTTGTGAATTTATTTGTAAAAAATACCCTAATCAAAGCTACCAAAATGTAGCAGCAAACTCTCCAGATTTCTTTATGATTCCTCAAGAAAGTGAGAGTTTAGATAAGTATAGATTAAGGGAACAGCCCAGATAATTGCTTGGATAAGATAATATAAAATAAAAAATAAAGTGATGGAGAGTAATAATTTGGGCAGTAATAAGAGACCCACTCTTGAGTATTCATTAAAGTTACAGCATTTTGTCTTAAGTTGGTGAAACTGAAAAGCACCTTAATGGCGGTGGCTTCAAAGTTCAAATAGGCAGATCACATTTGGCAATACAATGTTTTAGGACACCTAAACACGTGCTAATCCGTAATTAATTGTGGATTAATTATTATTATATTATATAAGTCGGCTAGGCATATGTTGTTTATCCCTTTGCTTAAGCGAAAAGCTGTACGGGCCCTTTTATACAGCCAATGCCCACATGTTATCTTTATTTTGGGTATTCTAAAACTACAAATAATTATTAACTAACACTATTATTTGACCATTATTTCTTTATTTATAAGAATACCCTTTTACGTACAAGAATTACCTTTCCAATGGACTCTCCCTATAATATAAGCCCGAATAATAATTTCGTAATGCCTAATTCCAATCATCAAAGTAGAGGCTCGGGCCCAGTCGATCCCGGGCCTGAGCCCTCAAGGACTGGACCCAAATATTGAAAGACCGGGTCTAGGCCTCGATCCCTCTTCTCTTGGGCCTGGTCCAGTCTTAGGACCAGTCCTTATAGGACTAATCCTCCCCAGGACCGGGCCAAATTCCCACCTATACATCAAAGTATCGATTGAATTTACGAGATAATTGACCCTAAATTTATTTTAAAACAAAGAAAATCAAGGACATTCAGTGTCTAGCTTGTGGGTTGGGTTGAAATTGGGCTGGATTGAACCCTCGAAATCGTCAGCCCACTGGGCTGAAAAGATCGACAGTTCCCCGTATTTTCACGAGCCAGAACTTCGTTTTCCGATAATTTCGAAAATACCATTCACCTCATTCTCGGCTCTCGCACTGAACGAGATGAGGTGAGTTTACTGATGGATCTTTATTCTTAACTAAAAATTCCAACGACACAAAACCCTAACTAAACTCTTCACTTCGACTTGGATGAATGGCATCTCAAATGTCGATCTTCATGCGAACCAAAAGCCTTCTCTCTAAAACCCTAAACCCCAATCTCAAACTCAAATCCATCTCTATCTCTACCTTCACTTTCCTTTCCCAAGAACCCCACCTCGCCGAGTCTGCTGAGACATCTTCTCTCCCGCCAAACCCAGCCACTGGTAGCCCACTTTACAACGAAAACTGGCGTAGCCCGGTTATCAACGAAAACTGGCGTAGACCGGTTACCGACTCGGCATCAGACACTCAGTCCTTGATCCCTTTAGCTCTCCTTCAGAACCCGTCCGGCCCACGCATTCAGGCATTATCTCAAACACTTGATGTGCAGGCTTTGATGAATGTTTTTGGTTACTGGATGACGAGTCAAAAATGGTCAGATATGAAGCAACTATTTGAGTTTTGGATTCGGAACTTAGACAAGAATGGGAAGCCGAATAAGCCGGATGTTAATCTGTATAATCATTACTTGAGGGCTAACTTGATGATCGGTGCCAGTGCTGGTGATTTGCTTGATTTAGTGGCCCAGATGGAGGATTATGCTATTCTGCCTAACACGGCGTCGTTTAATTTGGTCTTGAAAGCTATGTACCGGGCCAGAGAGACCGAGGCTGCTCAGAAGTTGCTCCAACGGTTAGCTTATGTTGTTTGTCTTACTGCGTTTTGATTGATACGTTTAAATATATGAATTGCATTTGAATTTAATTACTGGTTTATAAGGCTTTTGCAGTAATGAGTTTGATGTAAATACTTATTTCCCTTGTTTAATTGAGTTTAATAGAGTGAGAGCATCTGTTTCCAAAGCCAGAGGATAAAGGAATCACTAATTTTTTTTCCTTGATCACAGAATTACAATCCGTAAAATTAATTTCGATAAGATATCATGCAAATCCTCTCCCATATCAGTACAAATTTACTTGTAGTATTTTAGTAGTTTTCATTTTTTTTTTTTTTTGTGTGTGCGTGTTTGCTCTCTTTTGTATAGGAAAAGTTTAGATAAGAATGTAAGAATGAGTCCTTGAGAAACGGAATTTAAAACTGTTGTTATTTCGATTCAAAAGGGAATTTTGCCGACAAATACTACCTTTTGGAATCCCTTTTTACCCTCATTTATGCATTTTACACGCGTATTCATGTTAGCGTTCATTTATAGTATTGTTCGTTGGTATGTAGGGTGAAGATTATGTTTTACCTGTGTCTATGTGATAAGATTATTTACAGCAGTAGTAGGCTGAAATATGATATTGGGTAGGGAGAAAATAAACTACTTTGCTGTTGTAGGCTGAAACATGACGTAGGGCTGTGGAAAATAAACTACTTTGACTAAAAAAATTTAATAAATAAAGGAAAAAGGAACCTGGAAGTAGTAAAAATTACTGGAGCCCTGGGGTAGTGTGATGTAGTGATTGTGCTTGATGTAAATCTGTCCTGAAAGTCCTTCTCTTGGATGGTAAAATTAAAATCATAAATTGTAGAAAACAATATAATTTCAAGCTTCAGAATGACTTGTTATGCAAGTGAATTTTCTGTGGAATTTTTAATCTCTGTTTGCATGATTTGATTTGATTTTATATGTTGTACCTTAACTCTATGGATGGGATAGTTTTTGGTCTGAAGAAGGGTATGAAAAATTCGAGGAAGAATATCCATTCTTGTGATTTACATCCAAGGGTCACAATTTGAAATAAAAGTTTGGATTCTGAAATTGCGAAACATAATGTTTTTGAATTGGGTCCATACTTCCAATTGAATAAGTAGGGGATCCATGGATAAAGATCGAAATGTCTATTTTGGATCGCAACTAAATCTTCATTTTTTGTTTTGTATAGTTTAGATTGAAGCAAAATTGCTATTAAACGATAACTTTGGTTTACTAGAGGCATCGACCTATTCCTGGTTTGATCTGATGTAAAGGATTTTATATTGCCATTTCACCGTGTGTTTAATTACGTAACTGATTGTGTCATTACAGGAATTTTCTAGGTTTTGGTTTCAGTGTTTGAATCAGTCTACTACATGTAATGTTCAAATGTATGCTCAATTTTGATGGATCAACCTTTGTTTTATTGTAATCAGGATGCTGCAAACTGGGAAAGAATCTCTGCCTGATGATGAGTCATATGACTTAGTTATTGGCATGCTATTTTTAACAGACCAGATTGACACTGCTTTGAAATTCATAGATATGGCCTTGAAATCTGGATACTTGTTGTCTATGAAAGTGTTTAGTGGATGTGTGCGAAGCTGCGTTACCAAGGGCAGGCTGGATACACTGGTATCCATTATTGAGAAGTGCAAGGTACATGACTGATTTCCTTGGTACTTAAATAATTCCATTAAAGAAGGTCCAGTCTTTACTTATTATTTATTTAAAAGTGACTTTATTCCTATGGGTGTTGTCAGACAATGGATCAAAACAAAGCACTCTGTCCAACCTGGATCATGTGTAATTATATTGCAGAAGTTGCAATTCAAGAAGATAACGGTAGTTTAGCATTTTATGCCTTGGAATTTATGGCCAAGTGGATAGCTCGGGGTGAGAATGCACGGCCCCCTGTTTTTCTTTCTGTAGATGAAGGATTGGTTGTGTCAGTGCTTGGAACTGCAGGAAGGACCTATAGTCAAGCGCTATTGGATGCATCATGGGCTATCCTACGTCGCTCTTTGCGTCAAAAGAAGGCCCCTAACCCTGAATCTTATCTTGGAAAAATCTATGTTCATGCATTATTGGGTGATCTTCAAAGGGCTTTTAGTACCTTGCATGAATTTGAGACTGCCTATGGGAATTTCAACAAATACGTAGAGGAGGAACTTTTCTCGCCATTTACCTCTTTATATCCACTGGTCGTTGCCTGCGCCAAGAAGGGTTTTGAGACATTGGACGCGGTATTGCTTAAAATACTTTTAGATCTTGAATCAGATTGTTATCATATGTCCATCTTATGGGGAATCACCAATTAGTTAAGATTCATCATAATCACAATATTTCTGAATCGAAATCAAAATATTGACCACATGCATCAAACTTTAATATTTTTATTTAATGTTATTATTATTTTGCTTCTTTTTCATTCTTGGTTATTAAAGTTATGTATGTGTATTTGGGCAATGGTTTTTTGTTCTTCCAAGCATCAAGTTTCACACATGGTGGACATCATATATTATCTTTTTTCCTTCTTTAGGTCTGCATATCAGGTTCAAGCATAACAATAATTTAAATGAGAAAAAATGTAGATATAGAATAAAATTTGCAGTTACCCAAGAAAAGAGACTGATGGTTGCTATTTCTTCTGCCGTTACTTTTTTCCCTTACATTTTGTTAAGATCTGTTATAATAGTGCTCTTGAACTGTGGGATTGATATATTTGTAGTAATTAGTGGCTTGTATTATATTTCTCTTGAAGAGAGTATGCTTCTGATTTGTATTAATGATGTAGTGGTAGCTGAATTTTCATTCATTTATTGTATTGCAGCTTGTTGCTAACTTTGCATTGTTAAAATTTTTCCAGGTGTATTTTCAGCTTGAGAATTTGAGCAATGCAGATCCTCCTTACAAATCTGTTACTGCTCTAAATTGTATAATTTTAGGTTGTGCTAATATTTGGGACCTTGACCGTGCCTACCAAACTTTCGAGGCAATTGGTTCTTCTTTTGGGTTGACTCCGGATATTCATTCATACAATGCTCTAATGTATGCATTTGGGAAGCTCAAGAAGGTGCATATGCTTTGGGCCTTTTTGCTCACTCTAACTCTTAACTTTGACATGCACAAATATATACACATGTGATCTCAAATGTGCATCCTCCAGTACAATTGTGTGCACACCTATTGTGGACTTGTGGCAATGCATTGAGAAGCTATTCCCCCCTACTCTCCCAAGATATTTTATATTATATAAAATTTTAAAATATAATTATATTTATATTTTAAAATATTTTCTACTGTCATGATAAAATTCCATGATGTTTAGTGTTGGGGTCGATTAAATGGCATAATATCTATTGAAAGTCCACATGCATGCTCTTTGTAGAAATTGGGCCACATGCATTGTCATCTATTACTTTGCATTGCATGCACATGGAATTAACATATCAATTTTCAGATTAATATGCTGAGTATTGAATAGAAAATTCACGTCCTTCTCCTGTGGCAGACATTTGAAGCTTCAAGGGTGTTTGAGCACTTAATAAGTTTGGGTGTTAAACCCAACGCAATGTCATATTCTTTGCTTGTTGATGCTCATCTTATCAACCGAGATCAGAAAGCTGCTCTCGCTGTGATTGATGACATGGTAAGCCGGTGTTGTGTGTGTTTCTATCATTTGGATTGGGTCTACAGAATTTAAAATCATGTATATCTGTTTGGCAGGTAACTGCTGGATTTTCACCTTCAAAAGACACTCTGAAAAAGGTCAGAAGGCGATGCGTACGAGAAATCGACCATGAAAGTGATGAGAAGGTTACGGCCCTGGCTGGAAAGTTTCAGTTTCGAATGGGTTCAGAGACTCGTAGGAACATGCTGTTTAATCTCCAGTACAGCAATAATTATATCTGACAAGTAAGTTCTGATGCATGCTGAATAACTTACAATGTCAAAGCTGCGTGGTTTGCGGTCCTTGTTGCTTAGGCATTCCGTTTTAGCATACATCATGTTGGTTGACCATATTTCAGAATGCTCTGCTTAGACTATACCAGTTAAGAATTTTCATTTATAACCCTAAAACTTAGTTCCGGTCTTCAACAATTCTTGGGGCCATGTACTTAAATTTTTTCTATCCCATAATTTACCTGACTATAGTAGTTTGCTATATTCAGGTTAGCGAGATATTATACTCCCTGTTGTTTGTCACCTTGATGCCAAAGTCCACTGTCAATTACTGGAATCCTTTTGTTTAGTGCCCTGGATATTCTCAGTAACAGCCATGCTTTGATTATACTTTGATGTTTATTTTTTATTTTGCAGGTTGGCTTTTCATTTCTCAGTCTTGGAAATATCGATGATGATGATGATGATGATGATGATGATATGGTTCAACAAATTTTCATGTTCTACATCTTTAGTTTTTGACGAGCCTTCATCTTTGTTTGTAAATTATCTGATTGTTATCAATTTTGAGTCTTGGAACGATTAATGCTAGGATCATAGCTTCCTAGAGCAATATTCATAATTTCACCTGTTTATTTTTCTATTCTTTTTTTGCTTTTTGAGGAGCACGGTAGTAAAATGCCAATCCAATAGATATTCCAATCCAATGTTGACCAATAATTGTAGTACCATCCCAAATTTTTAAAGATGCTTAGAGGATATATGTTTTTCTTTAATTTTTTAATTTGTCCTTTCGGTAGCCTGTTTATTTAACCATGTTTTCAATATAGTAAATTAATAGTTGATTTTGTTTTTAGATGTTTAGAGCATATAAATATGATTGAAATTTTGTGGGGTATATTGTCATAGGCGAAAAAGTAATGTTTTAATAACCAACCGGGGGTGAAACCTGACAAAGTTGTTGGGTCTCGGGTTTGACCAGTTAGTCAAATCGAGTGATAAATTTTAAAATTTAGCAAATGCACTTCTAAAAATTATAATTAAGTCCTTCTAGGTTTGAAATTTAGCAAACACATTTCAAATACAAATAGGCGGTCAATTGGTTGGCGACGGTGACACAATAAATGCAATCACAATCATCTCTTGAGTTCATTCCTCAAAAAATCTATCCAGTATCCGATTTTAGTCCGATCTTACCAACGTTGGCGTCGACATTTTAGGTCAAATCTCACTAATGTCAACGTCGACAGCCCTCTCCATCACTACGAAAATACTCTCCTCAGTCTTTCGACCAAAACTCACCTCACCCCACCCCCGTTAGCCTTGACAATCGTTGACAAAAGCTGGTTGTTGCTGTCACCTATTTTTTTCAATTTTGAGTCTGATTCACTTACCGAAAATCAACTATGTTGCCACCATTACACTCATCGACACTTTCTCTTCAAAAACCTCAATGTCCTGGCCTTCAATTGTTCGTCGATCATCACCTCAATTTTTAGGATTTTCGGTGAATAGTGAAATAGGTAATCCGGCCCGATGAAAGCCTCAGGTCTCGGTTCAACTAGTTTAACCAGTTGGGCTGGGCTGGGTCGAATTTTAAAACGCTATGAAAAAGTAAATGTTCTTTAGTTGATCAGAGAATTTGTAGATGAAGAAGATAAAATGTCTTAACTCTTATGGAGAGTATAGATCATATAATGTTTTATTATAGAAGTATATTATATTAACGGAAAGAAAGATCACCTTAAAGATTATTGTGAATGTTTATAAAATATATGTAGTTGGTTCGAATAAATTAGTGAATAATATGTTTGGTTGGGAGGATAAATGAGTGGATATATTGTATAGATTATTAAATTGTCCCCCTTTTTAAATATTAATATAATAGTATTTATTTATTTTTATTTTTTGAATCATTTCTCTAAACCCCTTATATTTGAAATTTTGCTAAAATACCCCAACCATATAAAACTTTAATTTGTAGCAAAAGCACCTCCACCCACCTCAAGCCACGGCCGGTAGCCAACCACCACCACCGACAACATCCGATAGTCGACAGAATGGCGCACAACTGGCCATATATGACTAGCCATGCGCCGGCAAAGCTGGAAATGGCCATGGATCACAAATCCATGGCCGGAAAATAGCTAGATCTATGACCATTTCAAGGTCAAAGATTTGACTTTTTTTTTTTTTTTTTTTGGATAAGTAAGCTTTCATAAGAAAAAGAAAAAAATGTACAAAAGGCCTATAAAAGGCAGCCAACCTACCTCAAGACAATCCCCTGGGTTAGGACCCAAAACCGTGGGTTAGGAACAAAACTAAAGAAACCCAACGCCCACCTTACACCAACTTCCACTCTTCCCCAAAGCATGGAAACCTCCCCTAGGGCCTGCCTTGGCCAATCCAACTCTTAAGAGCCAAAGAAAACACCCTTACTTTCATAGCCCTCCAAGTGCTCGACAAAAACCTTCACCACAAAAAGCCTCAATAACAAATTTGTCCTAGGACCTCACCACCACCAAGACCACAAAACCCAAAATGATCACCAGTAAAAAATAGACATTGGTAACCCCCAAATTTGTGCAAGCCTTTTATTTCTCGTAGTCCTCTTCATCTTCCTAAGCTCTATGGTCTTATCCCTCACCACTAACCTAATGATATTGTGGATGGTTAGTGCATCTTTACACTCCCCTCCATATACCCTATTGTTTCCCTCCCTCCAAATCCAATAGATAGTGGCATTAAGACACTACTTTGCCAAAAAATACTTGAGCTTATTTCTCTTCCAATTTAATGATAAGCCATGAATATAAGCATTCCATGGCACTGCCCCATAGCCCATAGAGCGAATGGCAAGGATTCGACTCCATATAGACTTGGAAAAAGGGCAAAAGAAAAAGAGATGATCCAAGGTTTCTTGGGACGAATTACAAAAACAACAACATGAGTTTTGCAAAATGCCATACCTCTCAAGCTTATCTTTTGTGTTGAGTTTCCCTTTTATAATCATCCAAAGAATCATAGCATGTCTTGGAATGGATTTCGGGAACCACACAAAATGGGACCAATCAACCTCAGCTTTCCTCAACCTTATTTCATTCCATGTTGAACTAATAGAGAAACCCTTGGTCATAGACGAGATCCAAACAATTCTATCCTCCTTCATAGTGGGATTGAAATTAACCAACCTTTCATTTCCAACAAAGCACAAGAGTTTGCCACTGGCCATTTCCACTCACCTCGATTGCAAATCTTACTAACTCGAGAATCATTTGATAATCCAGATTCGTAAATAATCCGAGGATGATATGTGAGGGCAAGCGGGCCAAGATTGTGCCAATTATCACGCCAAAGTCGAATATGTCTCCCATTACTGACCTCACACTTGATTCTCAACCCAGCCTCTCCTCTAAGCTTAAGGATGCTCCTCCAATTCCAAGAACAATCACGGGAAATGAGAATTTCCCAAATACTTTTTTTTCTTAAGAAGATAAGTTTTAATCCAAGTGACCCATCCCAAGGAATGATTAATTTTGGCAATGTTCCAAATATGCCTCATCATGGTTGCCTTTTTCCATTCCTTAGTTCTCATAATGCCTAGACCCCCCTCCTCATTTGGAACACAAACAGTTTCCCAAGCAATCTTTGCTTTAGTTTCTTCAGATTGGATCCAGACCATAAGAATGCCCTAAGGGAAGCCTTAATCTCCTTGTGCACTCTTGAGGGAAGGATGAACATTGAGGACCAAAAAACTTGGATGCTCCACAAGATAGCTTTGATGAGAATGATTCGTCCCGCGTAAGACAAAAACTTACTTCTCCAAGAATTAACCCTTGCAAGGATTTTGTCAATAAGAACTTTGCAATCAACATACTTCAACATAGTTCTAATAAAAGGGACACCCAAATACCGGACCAGGATATTTCCTTCTCTAAAATTGTCATCCTACAAAAAATTCTCTTTTTCCTCCTTTGAGACTCTAGAACAAAACAAGTTGCTTTTACTAGTGTTAGCCTCTAACCCTGACCAATCCTTGAAGGTTCCCAAAGTTTGTTTAATTAACCCAATAGAAATTGTGTCCCCATTACAAAAACTCATGAGATCATCTGCAAAGCAAAGATGTGTAATGTTTTCAGCACTACACCTCGAGTGGAATTTGAACCTAGGGTCCCTAGCCACTTTCCCAAGGATCCGAGAGAGAAGTTTGTAATGACTTCTTTCTACTAATATGCTCATAAAATATACTTAATAAAAATAAATGTATAATTAATGGAAAATAGTTGGGCCCAAAGTTTTCTTTATTTAATATATACATTCTTTACATAGTACAAAATAACATGTACAAAAAACTATCAAAATGATGGACAGTGTAACCGTTTCTCTCCGCTTGCCGATGTCCATCCGACCGCATCCTCACCTATTTCCTGCAAAAACATAGAAAACAACGAGGTGAGCACAAAAATGCTCAGTAAGTAAATCCTCTAAACCGCTGTCCCCGTGTACCACTCTTTAATTCTTTCCTTACTCTGCCCTTTTTCTTCTTTTTCTTTCTTTCTCTCTTATTCTTTCATATCATGATAGAAGTCATGATAACAATGCATGAATGAAATGCACATGTAGTCATGCATAAGAATGCATTCTCTTTCTTCTCTTCTGTTTTTCTTATTATGCTTTCTTTTTTTATGCATTTGTTTTCTTTCTTTTCTCATGCTTTCTTATTATTTCTTATTCTATGCCGATCAAACTTGGTTGATGCATGGATTCGGAACCCTTGGCCACGTGAGTGTATTCTCTCTCTCAAGATAGCCCTCATCCACATGTACTCTCATGGGCTATACCACTTCTTTCTTTTCTTTCTCAGGCTGCTCACTGAAGGCGGCGTACATGCGGGAATATTCTGCTCATCACTCACAGGTTCCCCATCGCACAACTTATTCTTTTCTCTTCTTTAGCACTTTTCTTTCTTTTATTCTCTAGTGTTTATTCATTATTTCTCTTTATTCTTAGAGTGTTTTATTCTTTCTTTTCATGATTCTTTCTTAAGTTATTACATATATATAACTATATGCATATGGATGGTTCATGCTTAGAATTCTTTGTTAAATGTACTCATGAAATGCAAATATGCAATGTTGCATAAATTAAGGTTCTCTACTCATACTCATGCTTCTCTTAGGCATTTCATCAAACAACTATTGTGCATACATAAACTCTACTTTAACTTATAATTATACTTGTATCTTAAACCATCCAAAATGGGAGTAAAACTCCCTTGTATCATCACAATCCCTGTCAAGGAAAAACACTCTCAAAAGTTTCCTCAAACTCTTTCAATTTCCACCAAACTTCAATCCATCATCATACAATTAAAACACTTCTCATAACCCAAAGATATTCAACTACAAGCATAAATAAACACCAATCTCATCTCAGTTTCTCAACAATCATAGCATATACATACATAAAGAAATCTCTACTCAATTGATTTCTTAAACTTTAACTTGGTTGGATTTACTTACCTTATACTTGAGTAATCTTCACTAAGGCTTTCTACTCTTGTTGGACTCAAACTTTCTCTTATTTCCTAAGCATAAACTTAATAAGAATTCAACTCTTGCACAAATAAAACTCATAACTAAAGCAAGGATTCTTACCTCTTGTTGCTTAGGATCAATTCCTTGTCAAAAACCACTAAAAAGCCCTCAAAATCCTTGAAAAAATTGAGTGAAGGATTGAGAGAAAATGAAGGATGGCAATGGCAGTGGAAGAAGAG